AAAATAATTGGACAATTGAACATAATCATACATAAAATGTTCATTTTTAATATTTTGTTGAGAATCCTTTACTGGCAATGACTGCCTGAAGTCTGGAACCCATGGACATTACCGAAGACTGTGTTTCCTCCTTTCTGATGTTTTGCCAGGATTTGACTGCAGCTGTCTTCAGTTGTTCTTTGTTTGTGGTTCTTTTTGCCTTTAGTTTTGCCTTCAGCAAGTGAAATGCATGCTCAATTGGGTTGAGATCAGATGATTGACTCGGCCATTGCAGAATATTCCACTTCTTTTCCTTCAAAAGCTCCTGGGTTGCTTTTGCAGTGTTTTTTGGATCATTGTTCATCTGTACTGTGAAGCATAGGAGATGAGCGAATCGAACATGACGAAGTGGAATTCGTTTCGAAGATTAGGAAATATTCGATTCGTGCCGAATCCGAAAATTAGCAAACTTCGGATGCACGAATCGAATTTTCCCAAAAAAATGGCGGCGACATGTGTGGCGACGGAGGCGGGGATCTCTGGGAAGGCGGCGCAGACAAGGCGCGCTGACCCATAATGCATTCATTCATGACATGTGATCGCATTAGCCAATCAGCAGGCCAGCACTGTGTAATGGTGGAGCTATAAATCGCGGCCATCTTAGAATTCTCCATTAGCCTCCGGTCCATTCAAGAGAGACAGACCTCTGTGTATTAGGGACAGAGTTAGGGCCACAGAGACTTTAGGGCCACAGAATCGTTACTTAGGGACACAGAATCGTTACTTAGGGACACAGAATCATTACTCAGGGACACAGAATTGTTACTCAGGGACACAGAATTGTTACTCAGGGACACAGAATCGTTACTCAGGGACAGACACAGAATTGTTACTCAGGGACACAGAATTGTTACTGAGGGACACAGAATTGTTACTCAGGGACACAGAATTGTTACTCAGGGACAGACACAGAATTGTTACTCAGGGACACAGAATTGTTACTCAGGGACACAGAATTGTTACTGAGGGAAACACAGAATCGTTACTGAGGGACAACAGAATTGTTACTCAGGGACACAGAATTGTTACTCAGGGACACAGAATTGTTACTCAGGGACACAGAATTGTTACTGAGGGACACAGAATCGTTACTCAGGGACACAGAATTGTTACTCAGGGACACAGAATTGTTACTCAGGGACAGACACAGAATTGTTACTCAGGGACACAGAATTGTTACTCAGGGACACAGAATTGTTACTGAGGGACACAGAATCGTTACTCAGGGACACAGAATTGTTACTCAGGGACACAGAATCGTTACTCAGGGACACAGAATCGTTACTCAGGGACACAGAATCGTTACTGAGGGAACAGAATCGTTACTAAGGACACAGAATCGTTACTCAGGGACACAGAATCGTTACTCAGGGACACAGAATTGTTACTGAGGGACACAGAATCGTTACTGAGGGACACAGAATTGTTACTCAGGGACACAGAATTGTTACTCAGGGACACAGAATCGTTACTCAGGGACACAGAATCGTTACTCAGGGACACAGAATTGTTACTCAGGGACACAGAATCGTTACTCAGGGACACAGAATCGTTGAATTAAAGAGTATGTCAGACAACACGCAGAGGAGTGGCAGAGGAGGCAATGTTTCAGGAGCGAGCAGACGTGGCAGCAGAGGAAGGGGTCGAGGCAGCACTAGTCGCAGCCAGAGGCCAGTGCTTCCCCGGTGTCATCCAGCGGTCGTGTCTCCACCGACAACCCTGCCGTCATCGATTGGTTGGCTTGGTCGTCTTCCTCTTCCCAGGTCACCTCTGACACCTACAGCCAACGGTCGGTGGGTACGTCAGACACAACCGTTAGTTGGCATGGCCCGGGACCAAGCCCCACTGAAATCACGTGTCCTCTACCTGCCCCTGTCCTTTGGTGTTCCCTCACCAAGCGAAGTATCGCATGCTGTGGGCTCAGCCCCACTGTACAGTGAGGAAGAGCTAACAGAGGGCGGTCAGGAACGGGGGGAGAAATCCGCCTCTTCAGCAGCCAGGCGAAGAAGTACTGGCGAGGGAGAGTGGCTCGGTAGCCGGTCTAGAGACAGGTCTGTCTCCTGACCCACACGCAGCCGAGGGGGCTAGTAGTGAGTCGGAGACCCTAATTGATGATGATGAGGCTGATCGCACTTGGCAGCCTCGTCGTCATCAGGCTATTGCTTCCGCATCATCAGGAGAAGAGGGTGCCAGTTTGGCAGCGAGCAAAACAGTCGGTGGGGTTGCCCAGGAGGCAGCAGGGTCGCAGCAGTGTCAGTGGAGGCAAACGGCCACGGAGTAGAGCACCAGCTCCACTGCAGCCTACCCACCACGGCCAGTAGTGGTGCCGGTGTGCACAGAGGAAGTAGCAGTCAGCCAGTGAGGAGTAGCGGGGGCAAAGTTTCCTACTCGGCGGTGTGGCAATTTTTCGTCAAGCCGCCCGAGGAAGTAAACGTAGCCATTCGGTGGCCTGGGAAAACCGTGATAAAGATACGGCGGTTCTGCCTGCCCCAGCCCCCGCTCCATCACCCGCTCCGTTACTTGCTCCGTCACCCGACGTCAATCGCCCTCTATCAGCCAGTCAAGGCTCCAACACCTCTGCTGAGGGGAGTTGTCGCTCGTTGGCATCTTCCGCTCGTTCAGATGCTCCTTCTCCTGCTACTCCTCTTCACGGATTCCGTCAGCAGTCTTTCTTGGAATCCGTTTCCAAGAGACAACAGTTTGCGAGCACGCACCCGATGGTGCAGAAGCTGAACGTCCTCCTGTCCAAGTTGCTGGTGCTGCAGTCCCTCCCTTTCCAAGAGGTGGACTCAGCACCTTTCCGAGAAATGATGGCTTGTGCCGCGCCGCGGGGGAGAGTGCCAAGCCGGCATTTCTTCGCCAAAAAGGCAGTGCCAGCCCTGCATTCACATGTAGAAGAGATGGTGGGCCAGTCTTTGAGCATGTCGGTCTCTGCCAAAGTGCACGACAGCGCCGACGTGTGGAGCTGTAACTACGGTCAGGGACAGTACATGTCATTTACGGCCCACTGGGTGAACGTGGTGCCGGCACAGCCGCACCAGCAACTTGGACAGGTCACGCCGCTTTTGCCTCCACGTTTGCACGTCCTTGGTCCAGCAAAGATGTCCGCCTCTACCACTCTCTTCTTCCGCCGTGTCCTCAGCCGTCACCCTCGTGCCAAGTCCCTTTACCCGACCGGCATATCACATGTGCAGGGCGCAACGGTGTCACGCTGTGCTGCACCTGGTATGCCTTGGTGAACGTAGTCACACAGGGGAGGAACTTCTGAGTGTAATGAACAGAGGAATCGACAGATGGCTGTCTCCGCGCAAACGAAAATCGGAACCATGATTTGACCGACAACGGAAAGAACATGGTGTCTGCTCTGCGTCAAGGAAGGTTGTGCCATGCGCCATGCATGGCTCACGTGTTCAATCTGGTTGTCAAGCGGTTCCTAAAATCCACCATCTTACTGCAAGACATCCTTAAAATGTCACGTTAAACTTTGCATGCATTTCAGCCATTCCTACACCGCAAAGCACACACCTCCTTGAGCTGCAGCGGCAGAACGGAATTCCACAGCATCGCCTGATCTGCGACGTTGCAACAAGGTGGAATTCAACCCTACATATGTTTAGACCGCCTTTACGAAAAGCGAAAAGGCCATCACCGATTTCCTGATGTTACAAGCGGATAAAGGTACTCCCCCCTGTGTAACTTAGATGTCAGCCATTGGCAGCTCATGCGTGACACCTGCCGCTTGCTCAGCCGCCCTTTGAGGAGGCCACGCTATTCGTGAGTCGGGCAGGACTATGGGATGAACGACGTCATTCCTCTGTTGCACGTCCTGGAACAAATGCTGTTAACAATGGCTGGTCAGGGTGCGGTAGACGTGGCGCACAGATCTCAACGCCACATGACCCCTGTGGGGCAGGACAGGAAGAAGAGGAGGAGGTAGAGGAGGACATTGGTGCTCAGGAATTATTGAGTGAAATGGGTGGTTTTTTTCCACTCAGCGGACAGGAGTGGAGGAGCAGGAGCATCTGGTAGAGGAGGAGGATGAGAACAGAGGACCCAGACGCACCGTGGCAGTATGCTGTGGAGATGGAGGCATGAGGAGTCCCTCGCATTCCTTGGCACAAATGGCCCATACAATGCTTGGTTGCTTGCGTAGCGACAGCCGAATAATAACCATCAACAGAGGGATGACTTTTGGCTGTCCACCTTTTTGGACCCTCGCTACCGTTCAAAAATGGTGGCCTTTTTCACACCTGCTGAGAGGGAGGCCAAAATAACGTACTATAAAAACCACCTATGTAGTCAGTTGGTCTCTGCCTTTCTGCGCCAACGTCCATCCCTCAGACACTGTGGGCCCTGTGCGCTCCGCGTTCCGCTGCCATGGCAGCAGGGGAGGGTGGGGTGGTAGGAGCAGTGGCAGCTCCACCAGCAGCGGCTGCCTCAGTCTGCAGTCCGATGATGAGTAGCTTTCTTCACCAGCGCAGTGAGGAAACTACTAACCAGCCGCAGCAGCAGCAGCACATCAGGTGGACCTGGAGCAGGACCTCAAACAACAGGCTTAGGCCTACTTGGACAGCACCCTGCCAACCGAGGTAGACAATCCCCTTGACTACTGGGCAACGAAACTTGACCTTTGGCCCCAACTAGCTGAATTGCCCTTGAAAGGCTGTCATGCCCGGCCAGTAGCGTGGCATCGGAGCGCGTGTTTAGTGCGGCAGGAGGTATTGTAACTCCGCGGGAGGACACGACTGTCCACCCAAAGTGTGGAGAGACTCACGTTTGTGAAAATGAATCAGGCGTGGATTAGTCTGGATTTCAAACCACCAGTTCCTGACACAACTGACTAAATCCGCCATGAATCATGCCCCAAACATGTTATATATTTTTAACATAGGCCTCTGTATGGCCTTCAATTTAAGCTGCTTACGCTTCGTCACTCTGCCATGGGCCCCTGTACCGCCTCCTCTTGCTGCTGCCAGGTCCAGAGTGTCTCATGGTCCCTGTACGGCCTCCCATTGCTGCTGTCTCCATCGCCACACTCTGCCATGTGCCACTTTCAGGTCTCCTCACACTGCTGGTGGGATCCATTTTGTCATAGGGTGCTGGCAGATTACGGGCCTCCCATTGCTGCTGCCAGGCCCGTAATCTGCCATGGGCCCCCGTACCACCTCCTCATGCTGCTGCCAGGTCCAGAGTGTGTCATGGGTCCCTGTACCGCCTCCTCATGCTGCTGCCAGGTCCAGAGTGTCTCATGGGTCCCTGTACGGCCTCCCATTGCTGCTGTCTCCATCGCCACACTCTGCCATGTGCCACTTTCAGGTCTCCTCACACTGCTGGTGGGTTCCATTTTTGTCATAGGGTGTGCTGGCAGATTACGGGCCTCCCATTGCTGCTGCCAGGCCCGTAATCTGCCATGGGCCCCCGTACCAACTCCTCATGCTGCTGCCAGGCCCGTAATCTGTCATGGGCCCCTGTACCCCGCCTCCTCATGCTGCTGCCAGGTCCAGAGTGTGTCATGGGTCCCTGTACGGCCTCCCATTGCTGCTGTCTCCATCTCCACACTCTGCCATGTGCCACTTTCAGGTCTCCTCACACTGCTGGTGGGTTCCATTTTGTCATAGGTGCTGTATGGCCTCCCATTGCTGCTGCCTCCACTGCCACACTGTGGCTCCACACTCTGGTTTTGGCCCCGTGACTGCCCAAATGAGTGAAGTGTGCGGTGATTCTAAGATCGACGGCACTCATCTGCATGTCATACTGACTGACAGTATTATTTCTCTTCCCCAGCAGACTCCAAGGGCATTTAAATTAAAGGTACAGTGTTCTGCACTAATATAAAGGCTCTCTGAAGCCTAGAAACACCCTTTTTATAAGTTAAATTCGCAGCGAATATATTCGACTCGAATCGAATTTATTCCGCGAATTCGCCGAATCAGCCGAATCGAATTTTTGAATAATTCGCTCATCTCTAGTGAAGCACTGTCCAATCAACTTTGCTGCATTTGGCTGAATCTGGGCTGACAGTATACCTCTAAACACTGCAGAATTCATCTGGCTGCTTCTGTCTTCTGTCACATCATCAATAAACACCAAAGACCCAGTGCCACTGGAAGCCATGCATGCCCATGCCATCACACTGCCTCCACCATGTTTTACAGATGACATTGTGTGCTTCGGATCATGAGCTGTTCCAAACCTTCTCCACACTTTTTTCTTCCTGTCATTCTGGGTATCCATCCAAAGAATGCTTTACTGGTCTGGCTTTGTTAGATGTTTTTTGCCAAAGTCTAATCTGGCTTTTCTATTCTGTGAATGAACCCTCCGTATGCTGTCATGAAATCTTCTCTTGATTGTAGACTTTGACAATGATACGCCCACCTCCTGGAGAGTGTCCTTCACTTGTCTGGATGTTGTGAATGGGGTTTTCTTTACTGTCCATGCCTTTTATGTTGCTGAGCTCACCAGTGCATTCTTCTTTCCTCAGAATGTACCAAACTGTTGATTTGGCCACTCCTAATGTTGCTGCTATCTCCCTCATGGATTTGTTTTGTTTTTGAAGCTTTCCAATGGCCTTTTTCACTTGCATGTACAGCTTCTTTGAACGCATGATGTAGGTTCACAGCAATAGATTCCAAATGCAAATACCAAACTTAGAATCAACTCCAGACCTGCTTAATTGAGGAAGAAATAACGAAGGAGTAGCCCACACCTGGCCATGCAACAGCTTTTGATTCAATTGTCCAATTACTTTTGGTCCCTTGAAGGGGTGGTATCTACTCTTAAGAGCTGTAATTCCTAAACCCTTCCTCCAACTTGGATGTACATACCCTCAAATTAAACCTGAGAGTGTGCACTTTCAGCCCATATCAATTACTGTATATAACTATAGCTTGAATATGTTTTGGTAAATACCTGAAAAAACTAAAATTGTGCCTGTGTCCAAATATATACAGTATGGACCTAATTGTATATACACACACACATACTATAAATTGATGCTGGTGGCTCCAAAGAAGATTTGTGGTTACAGCATACTCTTTCATTTTATAACATGAAGATTGCAATAACAGTACAGGCAATAATTATTTTTGACAATCCAATATAATCTTACTTGAAAAATCCCCTTTCAAGTAGTAATTGCTTCCTGTCTGCTGGTCATCTCTTTCCACAACTTCTTGTATTCCCTGCATACTTTGCAGCTTCTTCTCTGCTGTTTACTTTCAATTTATAGGGACTACATATCCCATGGTACCTTCTACCTGTAAGAAGTGATTCCTGTACTGACTCTGACTTTGTTGCTATATAAAATCAATAAAAAACAAATAATGACTGTAGCCATTCTATGATAATCAAACCCTGGCTGGCTAGTAACCCTTTTTTTCATTCACCAATCCATAACCATTCCTTCCATCTCTTTCTCCTTGGTCACTACTTCTCATATACATATTTTGGTTTCTATCAAGCTTTTCCCTTTCTGTAGCATTAAAGCGACTCTAAACTCAAGTCTTTACAACAATCATTTTAAATATCAAGTATACCAAGTATCAAAATATATTTTGTCCTGTGCACTCTCCCTATCCTCTACTGAGGCACCTTACCAATACTGGTGTAAAGCAAGCAGTGCCATAATTTCTGGACACATGCTACCTACTACAGTTCCCATAGAGCTTACTGTGTTTGCACATAGATGTGGTGTCCATCTCAGAGGAGAGCGGGAAAGAGTGGCTATGTTCACATACACAAGGAGGGCATAGGGTGTGAATGCAGCCATCCTAGAACAGGAAGTCTAAGAACAGCAGAAAAAAAGCATGCGTTTAGGAGATGAAACAAAGGAAAAAAGAAATAGGAGATACATTCTACTTCTCTTTTTTTAAAAAAATGTTAGTTTAGTGTCACTATAATTTTTGTATGATATCAAACATTTAGTAAACCTCAAATTTGTTAAATACAAGGATGATTGTAAGCTCTGTTGAAAAAGCATCAAATCCTGTTTGGTATATTTTTATATTGTACAGTATGTTGATCTTCTAGATACTCTGTGTTCTCACTTTGGAAGATGTTGGTACTGTATAAATCAGTAATAATGAAATAATGATAATACTATAAGTTTGAACCTTGTAAGTGAGCATGTCTAAGCATAGCCAAAGTTGCAGCAGTCGATTCTGTTATCCTTTGGTGTTACAGCAGAACACTCAGGAGCTTAGCTGACCCAAGCCACTGTCTCCTCATTTCTGCTGGTTAGCTGCAACCCTGGTAATCATAAAAAAAACTATAGTTATCATTTCAAGTAATGTTAGGAGGATGTTTCTAGTGCATGACTTTATTTATAGTGGGCTCAAAGGCTATATAAATTCTGAAATAATAACAATGGGTAATAGGCAGGAGCCAGAAAAACTATAAATCAAGATGTACTCGAACAAGATAACACTGGATACATGTCTATGTCTACCCAAGCACGCTATAAATTCTAATCAAATTTCTTTGCTCGTTCTGCCAAAAATGATCCAAGCATCCACTCCTCCACATACACAAACAGAAGTAGCTTTTGTTGTAATACTAGAACCAGCAATGCTAATATATTACAACAAAGTGCATGTTTAATTAAAAGGAGACACATCTATTATATATTTGGGACAATAGTATAGTTGAAAACTATAAGGCAATTAAAGCTATTCATAGACATGAGATGACAGACAAAAGATCTCACTGAAGAGAAATAATTTATGAGGCTGATTAATGCACTTGCATGCATACGGGTATCAGCTGAGTGTGCATGTTTTTTAACCATGCAGTCACCCCCAAAGCAAACAATAGCTGTCCACCACTATTATTTTTTATTTTTATTTATTTCAGATACTTACCGTATTTTTCACTCCATAAGACGCACTTTTTCCCCCTCAAAAAATGGGGGAAGATGTCTGTGCGTCTTATGGAGTGGCCGGCCCTGTGTTCCCCCCGTCGCTGCCGCCGTGTTAGAATACCGGGCCGGCTGCTCGGCTCTTCTGTGCAGCAGAACCTGCAGACCTCCTACCTGTTCCTTGGTCCAGTGGTGTCCTCTCCGTCTTCTAACCCCGGCGCCGGCACCTTTAGTGTGGGCACCTGGCTGTGACAGCTTGTAGCATCACAATCGAGTGCCCACTGGCGCATGCGCAAGAAGCACTGTGTTTTGTGAATGGTCCTGTAGTCTTCTGGGACCTGTCACATGTACCAGAAGACTACGGGGAGGGAGGGAGAAGGACAACACCGTGGAAGTGGGAGCAGGTACCTGTTAAATTGGGTACCCGGTCCCCCCCCCTCCGCTCTCCAAAGGTCCTGCAGTCTCTGGTCATCTCTGTACTGTCTACTGGTATCTCCTGTACTGTGTCTCTGGTCATCTCCTGTACTATGTCATCTCATGTACTATGTCCGCAGTCTCTGGTCATCTCCTGTACTGTGTTCGCGAAGTCTCTGGTCCCCATCTCCTGTACTGTAGTATGTCCACAGTCTCTGATCATCTCCTGTAGTATGTTCGCAGTCTCTGGTCATCTCCTGTAGTAGGTCCGCAGTCTCTGGTCATCTCATGTACTATGTCCGCAGTCTCTGGTCATCTCCCCTGTACTATGTCCTGAAGTCTCTCTGGTCATCCTGTACTGTGCTATGTCCGCTGTTATCTCCTGTCTATGTCCGATCATCTCCTGTAGTATGTCCGCAGTCTCTGATCATCTCCTGTAGTATGTCCGCAGTCTCTGGTCATCTCCTGTCACGCAGTCTCGGTTAATTGCAGTCATGTAGTAGTCTCTGGTCATCTCTGTACGCAGTCTCTGGTCATCTCCTGTACTATGTCTGCAGTCTCTGGTCATCATCCTGTACTATGTATGTCTGCAGTCTCTGTCATCTCCTGTAGTATGTCGCAGTTTCTGGTCATCTCTGTCCGCAGTCTCTGGTCACTGTATTATGTCTGCAGTCTCTGCAGTCCATTGATTCAGTCCAATTCAGAATATTTTTTTTTCTTGTTTTCCTCCTCTAAAACCTAGGTGCATCTTATTGTCAGGTGCGTCTTATGGAGTCAAAAATATGGTATATAGTGTCATCAGTTTCTGCAGTGCTTTGCATGCCCTCAAGGGGTGTAAAATCTAGGACCCCTAATGCATTTCATACATACTAGGGCCAATTTAAAAAGGAGCCAATTAACCTATGAGTATGTCTTTGGAGTGTGCAGCATGTATTTGAAGTGTGGGAGTAAACTGGAGCACAGGGAGAACATGCAAACTTCAGGCAGGTGGTGCTGTGGTTGGGATTTGAACCAGATACCCTAGTGCTGCCAGGCAGAAGTCCTAACCATTAAGCCACTGTGCTACCCCACTGGTGATCATCTCTTTTCCCAGAGGCCACTTAGGCTAGCCATAGATTCATCGAAATTCATCTGATTCAGCAGGGATTGGATGAATTTTGATCCATCTATGGCCATTCCCATTCCAGAGAAGCCAATTTAAAGTTCAGCTACTCTCAAACTGGCTTATTGAAAACAATCTTCCTTCAATCAGTGCTGCAGCCAATTGGAGGAGGAGTCCCAGCTGTGAGACTACAATAACTCAGCTGGGAGGATTCAGCCATCAACCCTGCATGTGTGGATAGGGGAATCTGATCAGTTTTTTTTTTAGATCGGTCCATTGCTGTTAGAAAAAAAAACTGACCAGTGTATGGTCAGCCTTAGACTGATTGTCCTGGCGATGCACACATTAAAATTATTTGGATAGGACAACTAATTGGATAACGAAAATATGATGTGCCTGTGAAAACACACCTAGGTAAATAAACAAGGAGGGTACCCTTTGCCCCTCTACTAATAATGTTAGTAAACTGTACTGTAATAGTTTCCTTGGTCTGTTTCTTATAACTTTGCATATTGAATATGGTGCTCCCACCCAAGGACATTCTGGAGGGAGATTTAACACAAGGAGAGAATGGATTATTGCTGGGCACAGTCTGACCTTCTTTTCAATATAAGGGGTCAATATTTATTGGTGAGTGCTCCCCTTGAGGTAGAAGTGTGGTGGCAGCACTGGAAAGGTTGTTCTGAAGATCTACAATGAGCATAAGACACTTTGTATGGACTGTTTGTTATATTTTTATGTTGCAAGTACACTGCAAGCAATTTTTTGAACACATAATAGCCTTTACATACCAATTTATTTCACTCATGAGTTTTCTACATAGCAGATAAGTGCATCTGTTTATCAAGGTGTATTTAACCACTAGCCTACAGGGAACTTATACCCCCTTCCCCCCCAGGCCAATTTCCAGCTTTCAGCGCTGTCACACTTTGAATGACAATTGCGTGGTCATGCAACATTGTACCCATATGAAATTTTTATCATTTTTTTGAGATAGAGCTTTCTTTTGGTGGTATTTAATCACCTCTGGGAGTTTTTTTTTTTCTTAAACAAAACCAAAAACCACTGAAAATTTTGGGAAAAAAAAAACGTTTTTTCTTAGTTTTTGTTATACAATTTTGTAAATAAGTGATTTTTCTCCTTCACTGATGTGCGCTTATGAGGCTGCAGTGAAGGGCACTGATAGGCTGCACTGATGGACACTGATAGGTGGCACTGATAAGGAGGCACTGGTAGGTTGCACTGGTGGGCATTGACAGGCATCACTGATGGGCACTGAAAGGCAGCACTGATACATGACACTGATACATGACACTGATAGGTGGCACTGATAGGCGGCACTGATAGGCAGCACTGACAGGTGGCACTGACTGGCACTGTTAGGCAGCACTGACTGGCACTGTTAGGCGGAACTGACTGGCACTGATAGACGGCACTGACTGGCACTGATAGGTGGCACTGATTGGCAGCACTGATAGGTGCCACTGATGGGCATTTATAGGTGGCACCGACTGGCACTGATGGTTGACATTGAAAGGCAGCTCAGATGGGCACTGATATGTGGCATTGATGTGCACTGGTATGCACTGATACGTGGCATTTATGTGGAACTGATGGGCACTGGTAAGTGGGACTGATGCGCACTGGCACATGGCACTGATGAGCACTGACAGGTGGCACTTCTAGGGCCACATTGATCATCAGGGCACACTGATCATCAGTGCCCTGATGATCAGTGTACATGTCCCCTTCGTGGAAAGCCAATTACCGGCTCTCCTCTCGAGCTGTCAGCGTGACAGCTCGAGAGGAGAGAAATGCAGATAACCGGCATTTCCATGTTTATATGTGATCAGCTGTGATTGGACACAGCTGATCACATGACTGAGCCGACATCTTCGGCTCTTTCCGTGATCCGCTGTGTCCGAGGGACACAGCGGACCGGCGATCGCCGCGCTGCGCGCTCCCTGAGCCGTGCATGCACAGTGAGAATGGTAGGACGTCATATGACGTCCTATCAGAACGAGAGAACCACCTTGCGCCCGTCATTGTACTATAGGGCGGGCGGAAGGTGGTTAAAGGATAGGTTCACCTGTTACATTTTCTACCTATTTTTAGGGTGGAACATGTAACATGTTCCAGCATCTGCACCTACACTTCCAATCCCCCCTCTTCCTGTGACAGCGGGCGGGGGATCTTCTCCCCACACCCACTATCACAATTTAAAAACAGTTTCCTGTGATCGAATAGCCTATAAGTACCGTCAGCCATTGTGGCCGATGACTTGTAGTTCTCAATGAACTGCAAAGGTGCTGGTGAGCACTCTCATAGTTCATTGATTTTTCCTGCTCTCAAGTAACTGCCTGTCTCTACAAGGTATTGGCAGACAGCTATTCTGAGAATATGAAGGAGCCTGAGATTGCAACCACGATCTGTTGATCATGGGTGCAATGCTTTGCAAGCTCCTTAGGAAAAAAATAAATGCACTTTTTTTTTACCTGCAAAAATTGTGCATTTCTTTATTTTTTTTTTTCAAAAGGCGAACTTATCCTTTAAGGATATACACAATTCTGAGCAGCACCTATCCAAATATAAATTTTTCTTGTATTCCTTTGTGCAGATGTTTTGTTTTATAAAAGTTAGGCATACACCAGTTAGACCTATTATCCCTGATTAAAGCTGCCCCTTTGCTGGCCATTTTTTACAATGCTGCTTTCCCTGTTGTATCATAATTGTTGTAGTAAAATCCCTACCTGTGCATTTCGTCTGTAGTAATTTTGGGCCTAAAATTGCTTTTAAAATGGTCTTTCTGCTGCTCACTTTTAGAATGCTATATCCTCCACAATATTTCTTGTAGTAAAATTCCAACCTGTGCTCTTTGTCTGTAGTAAATTTGGGCCCGAATTTGCTATTTATGATTGTTTCCTCTGTTTTGATGATCTGGCCAGTATCACACCTCCTGTATTAGAGTGCCCCAGCTCTGGATGAATGAGCACAGGGTACTTTTAGACAGCTGAATTGTCTGGGGGGAGGGGAGCGTTAGATGAACTAGCCAGTTTTACACAAACACATAGAAAACAAACTCTAGCTCAGACTGCAGATACACAAGCAGTTACAACTGTTTTTCTTTCTTTTGAGATAAAGGTTTTACATGAATAAATAAAAGTTGATCAGTATAAGTACCCCTGACAGTGGTAAATGGTTTGTCTCAACATTCTAACTGGTGCATTTGCAGGGCAGCTTGCTCTGTTGAAAAGCAAGACTTACTGGCAGGATCCCCAGATGCAAAAAAAGGAAAGAAAGCCACAAAAAAAGAAAGCTAATGTAGCCATCATGTATAAGATATGGTAAGCTGAAATATAATAAATGTTTGCTACTGTTTGCTTCCTAGTAGAGAAACCCCTACCTGTTCTCTTTTTCTGTAACAAATTTGGTTACAAATTCATTCACTCATGTATCCTATGTGGTCTCTTACTCTCTTGTATTAAAAAACCGCTACCAGTACTCTTTGTCTGTAGTAAATTGTGACTTATTCTCCCTCATTGAAAATGTTCTGCTGCTGGCCCAGCTATTTACACATTTTCTTGATTATTAATAAGAGTTTCATAGAAACTCCCCGGACCCTGCTAATGATGTATTTAAAGAAAAGGACAGTGATCATGAAGTCTCCAGGTTGAATATCTGAGCACCCCCCTTTTTGTAAAGTGGGCTGAAAGATTCCCCAATAATTCTCCCCGATATTACTCCAACATCCTTCTTGGGACATTGTGTAAAGATTTGCTGCCCCTCAAGCAGCAAGAAAAGACTCTCTCCCTGCTGAACATTATTTTTTTTGAAAACACGTTTGCATTGGTAATTGTCCCCCATGGCAGTGCCCAGGTCCTGGTGCCTTTTTTAACAGTAGATTGCCTATTAACCTTGAAAATGGTTAGAAAATATAGCTAAATTGCTTCCCATAGACTTTAAATGGAGTTTGGACCTAAGTTCAGGTTTTTGTGGACTTCATTCTGGATTCACTGAACCTCCCATGAATCTATGAATAAAGGGGACCCGATGAAAAAGTTTCCTACTCCATTGCTTCCTAGTAGTTCTAATACCTCTCAATGTTTCTTGCTAACAGTCAGTCTAAGTCAGAAATTCTGATGCAATTTGAGTCTATTATGTTATACGCATTTTCTACCACATGACCTTGCACCTGTCTGTGATACTCCTGGAGAGAGATGTATAACACAGGCAGAGGAAGCGTAATCAGAGTGTATGGAAATGGTCCAGTAAACTGAATTATGAAGTGTACAATGCTGCAGAAAATGAAAGGAATAATGTAGAGACAAAAAAAGCTATTTTGGCAGCATAGAGGGAGGCTGGAGTAAATCTGCTGTTCCAGTTTGGCAAAGCTACAGTTAAAGAAAAACTTAAAGGAACATTTGATGGTGAAATGTATCTGGTAGTATTAATATTCTATAAATCAAAAGAAGTTCACACAAGATCAGAGTTTAAAAGTTTAAGTAAGCGTCAAGCAGTGATGTTTGCAACCATTAGAGACGTTTTTCTTAGTAGAACTATTTAAAGTTTTAAATTGCAAAGCATACTATGTGTAATATTTTCACCCACTATTACTGCTCTACTTACTTTAATAGTACATTATTTAATTGGGGATATTAAAATATGTATTGCTGGCATGCCTTGGGGTGTATTTTACTATACTTATAACTACTTGTGCACATAGACTACCAGGATATGCTGGGTAATTGGCTACCAAAAAGGAATTATGAATTGCAGGGGCAATTCCAGGCTCACATACTAAAAGAAATGTATGTTAACAGACATTCCCAATCTTTTATCAAGACTTAGCAACTTCTGTCATTATATCTTCAATCTTAATTCCATGGCCCCCCCAAGGACTGCCTCTCTAGTGTATCCAACAGTGAAGCTGATTTGTAAAACTGGAAGAAAGTTAAAATAGCAATTCATAGCAATTAGATTGGTTTCAACTTTCATTCTCTAACTTTCACTGGGAAAATGAAACTTGGAATTTGACTTCTTGCTGTGTACACCAACATCTCCACCTTTCATTTCTTTCATTTATGTAAAGCCCCAAATCTGCCTCATACATGTATCTGTAACTGAATATAACAATTCTCTCCAGCTCAATCAAACTCTGCTAGATGTTCAGTGGTTGTGAATGAGACTCTATACTTATCTAAACTGCACTTTAATCACTAGTCCATGGTAAACACTTACCCTAGTTATAACTGCAACTGAATCCCCTAACTCTCACTTTTGCTGAAAAGTGGCCACCCCAAGTCTTGCAGTCAGCTGTCTCTAAAAAGGGAGATAGTGAGAGCCAGGAGGATGTATTGCCTGGCATAGTAAAGAGAAATGTCATATCCTCTTGGAACAGAGCCTCTCTTCCACTTATTCATTTTTTGCCACTTCTACTAAGGGATTGATTTCAGATCTCTGTTCTAGTATATGGTACATCTAGTGGACAGCAGTCCTCCATACCATAAATTCTGTCTTTGAATTATCCTTTTTGTTGGACCCCATATTCTGTTTATTAGGCTACTTAAACCAAGAAATTATACCATCCACTATACAGATCCCATTGCTTCATTGTCTTTTCCATGCTTGTAAACTTATTGCTCAAAGGTGGCTAGCACCTCTACCATCTACTAATTCGGATTGACTGAAGGCCATAAATAATACATTGGTGAAGAAAAAATTTACAATATCTACACCAAGAGGGGGTATCCTAGGAAATTTGATAAACTATGAAAACTCTGGTTAAACACTCCAGGAATAACGCCCAGATCTCTGGTGCTGGATAAACTACTAGCATCATCCAGGAAGTTTGCCTACCATTCTGTTAATTTACAAGCTTTGATCCATACTCCTCAGGATTACTTTTTCCCTGCAACCTCTTATAAGGGACCAGGGGATAGAGGCGGGATTCTTTTAGCTTGCATTAGCACATTTAGAAACAATTTCAACAATTTTCAAATGGGTTTAATAATGAAAAGATCAAAATGGTGCAAATAAAATATTTACAAAAACAAAGATATTACAAAGTAACAAAGAGAACAAACCAAAGCAAGACAAAGAGGGGAAACAAGTAAACAGTTGCAAAGTCTTTGGTTTTACCAGAGTTCAGTCAAGGGTGAGCAAGGTGTTATTGGCTCCCATAACTTGACAGATGTTCCTTGGCTGATGGTACACAAGAGCTGCCAAAGTGTCCTCGCATTCCTTTTTTATGTGGTATCAAAGGGGTGTTGACAAAGACCTTCTGACCTATCATTCGGTTTAAGGGGTGGTTGCTGGGAGGTCAGCTGTTTCTGACCAAGTCCCAGATATAGTTTTCTATAAGTTTTAATAACTGAATATATGCAGGGTACAGTCAGCTACCCAGCATATTATTGTCAAGCATGAAATTAGCTTCACAATGGATATAGATATGACAGATCTCAGATATTTATTTCTCATAGGAGGGGTGTGGAGGCCTAATCCACTCTGATACCTCCTAGCATAGGGGTGTTTGGGTTCAAAATGCTACCCAATAACTGATGAAAGTGAATATGACTTTATTCTGGCTGTGCTATTATTATTCCATGAGTTATGAAATATGCTGTAACCAGTTTATCAGGGATGTGTATTCTACTGACCTCCAACTAAGGTGTTCATGACTCAGTGTCTGTTTCTGGTCACTGAAGCAGAAGTCAG